ACGGCCTGCCATTGATCTTTGTTTAGGAATACTGGTCCCTGCGGTCTGCCCACAGCATGAACTTGATCTCATGAGCATCGTAATCCTTCCCAAAAACTTCGACAGTCACGATGCCCTCCGGCGGCGCAGAGGTGAACCATTCTTCCTCCCATGGCGGTGTTGAACTTGATGAAGCATAAGTGCCATGTCCTGAGGCTGAAGCCGGCGGCGCCGCTTTCGAGCCCTTTGAATAGCTCTTCCAACGCTGCCATACAGGGAGATCATATCGCGTATTTCTTTCTCCTTGTTGATCTCGGTATGCTTTCTTCCTCATCTCCTCATTCCAATCGATCCCATCTCCTCCATAAGTTCTCGACTTCTTGAAGCTGTTGAAGGTGTCCACCCATTTTGGCAGCGGCATGTTCAGCGCGTCCAATTGAGGTGGTCCAGCGTTGGGGCCGCCCTGGAACGTCAGGTCGATCTTCTCTTTGCTCATTTCCGGGTTAGCTAGATCTGCGGCAGAGAGCTGTCGCTCCGCAAGGAATTCATAGCACTGATGTAGGTACCCTTGCACTCGATGTCTTGCTGATTTCCTGATTCTGCTCCACTGACGCAATATCCAGTCACCCAAACATCATATGTGATTTCTGGAAACCATTCACGAAGATTCCTGAACGCTTCCGTCATCATCACCCCGAACGGCTTTTGGTAAGACCATTTGGAACTTGCTAACCTGTGCTCATTGAAGCACTTCATTATGAATTGGGTGTACTGCATGCAGTTCACCGCGGCTGCTTCCTCTATCACGTTCCACTCTCTCTTTGCGCTTGATAATTTGGACCTCGAAGAACGACTTGACAGTCTCCTTCCCCTCGGCCTCATCGTCCATGATATTGAACATAAAGCGTAGTTGTCGGCGTAGTTGCTCCTGAATAATCTCGTTGTTTCCCATAAAGGCAGCATAGCTAGCACACACGAGATAGGCAGGCGGCTCCCCCTTCTTCACCCAACGCTTGCTGAAGGTAGTGTCTTCCTCACCACACCATAGACAGATGATTGATATAGGCCTTTGGGTTGTTCTTCAGGAGCTGTTCATTTCTCATACCAAAATCCATGATGTCTTCGTCTTCGTTTCTGTCTTGGAAGCTTAACCTTGCGGCAAGTAGTCCCAGTAGACCCACCGCCTGTGCAGGGATGTTCTTCTTGATGAACGTTCGGACCGCATCAATACCAAAATGGCTGTCGCTGTCGGAAACAAAAACCGGTGGAAGTAACAACACCGGCACATGATTCTGGTTCACCACGAGATTGCTGAACATTATAATGTTCCTTCCTTAATTCACGCACGGCTTGAATGATCTTGTCGAACTTCTTGCTAAGGCTTGCTTCACTAGACAAACGACCGTTCTGCAGCAAAGGATGCGGCAACGAAGACCAATCTTGTCACATGTCTCTTCTTCCACAAGGACAAGGTTCCTTGCTTGAGCGTTTCGATGATCGTTTGCGCAATCTTGAATCTATACAATTGTGTCACGCGTGTGTCTCTTCCAGCACATGGTACATGCCGGCGGCGACCGTTGCAAGTCTTCTTCAATCTTGAAAACGCACCCCCCACGAGACTATCTTTCATGGCTTCTTAATGGGCGCGCGCTTTTTATTATACCGCGACGTGAGGCCATACATGCATCCATCGAAATGGTGTATGTGAGATTCTGTACCATTCACAAGTTGTTGCATACTCTCATCATTCCAGTAGTCACAGCTTCTCGGCAGTTCTGTTAGTGCGCAGGCATCGATGGAGAACACACGCTCAAGGACTTCTGCAAAGCTATCCCAAAGGTTCCAGTACTTCGTAGTGTAGCAGGCAGAGCACTTGGTGAACCTCTACGCGCAGATTTCGTGGCAGGCGCAGCACTTGGTGAACCTCGTGGCAGGCGAAGTAATTTGCGAACCTCGAAGTGCGGATTTTGTGGCGCGCACAGCGCGTTGCGAACGCAGATTTCGTAGCAGGCAGAGCACTTGGTGAACCAGATGGCGCAGCGCCTTTGTGCTCTCAGACGCTCACTCTCACTCTCTGACTCACTCTCTCACTCTCACTCACACCCACACTCACTCCCACTCCCACTCCCACTCCCACTCCCACTCACACTCACACTCACTCTCACTTACACACACTCACTCACCCACTCTCTCACTCACACTCACACTCACTCTCGGTCGCCCTCCCATCCCCTGGAGATTCACGAGTTTGGGAAGCTCCCTACACCCTTTCCTTGGAAAATTTGGTCCTGTACTTTTTAGATGGCCCTCCCATCTGCAGATTCACGAGTTTGAAAGCTCCCCACAGCTCTTCCTTGGAACAATTTGGCACTGCACTTTTTGAACGGCCCTCCCATCTTCTTGAAGTTCACGAGTTTGGGAAGCTCCCTGCACCTTCTCCTTGGAAGATTTGTAGTTTTTGGATGGCCCTCCCATCTTTTCAAGATTCACGAGTTTGGGAAGCTACCTACATCTTTCCTTGGAAGTTTCCGCGAGATTCATACCTGTTCTTGATTCCAGCTTCCTCACCCTTACGCTCGGAGCTTAGCGCCATAAAAAGCGCCTCCCCTAGTGGGAGGTGTGTGTGTGTGTGCACCCCTTGGAGTCATAGGGCTTGGATTGGAGAATGCACGTTCTTTACCGATCTTTTTCCACCGGTCCCAGAGGAGCAGCGGCCAACAAAGACCTCGTCTGGGATAGCAAATTTCGCAAGTCAAGGCGGTTCAGTTCAAAAAAGAATCATCACTTTTAAGATGGTTGAACTTAAAACAAAAACCACAATCAATCCCAATTCCTGCTTCAGTGCAATCCTCGTGTCTTGGTTTTATGTCGCAGGGTGCATGGTGCTTCCAGAGCTTCCATATGGCTCCACTTTATTAAGGGCCAATCTCAGTTTGACAAGTAGGCCAAAATTAAGAATGTATGCGACAGGTTTAAGTTTTAAGATAACCACAAAGACACACAAACAAACACACACACACATTATGTGTGTGAACGCACATGTCATGCTGCCACCAGGTTCAATATAAAAAGGGATGCCAACCGCGCCGAGCCAACCACTATCCAAACATCAAGTGTGTGAATCTGACGAACATCCACAGATTTATGTATAGTCAAGATTCTGTCAATCGCCCTTGCTTTCCACACAAAGGAATCATAACTGCGGACAGTGCCCACCCAAAAGTTATGATTCTTAAACATGCTATAGTTTCCCCAAAAAAGAATCATAACTGGTGACACAGCCCACCTAAAAGTTTTGCTTCCAAAACAGTGTTATAGTTCAAAAAAAGAACCATAACTGGCAGCACTGGCTACCAAAAAGTTATGATTCCCAAAAAAGTTATAGTTCCAAAAGAAAAGAATCATAACTGGCTACACTGGCTACCAAAAAGTTATGATTCCAAAATATTCCAAGCAAAAAAGTTATGATTCCAAAAAAAGTTATAGTTCCAAAAAAAATGAACCATAACTTATGATTCTTTTTTTCCAAACAGATGCATAGCCTAAATCTAACAAAAAGCCTTCAAAATCAATTGTGTTTGCTAGTTTTGAGCTATGTGTTTTAGTGAAAAACCTAGATTTACAGAGCCCCAAACTAGCAAACACCTTTGATTTTGAAAGGTGTTTGATAGTTTTTGGCTATGATTTTTTTTGAAAAACGAATCATAAGTTATGGTTCCTTTTTTTTTGGAACTATAATTTGTTTTTTGGAATCATAACTTTTTGGTAGCCAGTGCAGCGAGTTATGGTTC